GATCAATGATAAATTCCCAATGGCAACTCTAATTATCCGGTTTCAATAGTCCCTGGACTGAATATTTGTCACCACTCCCTTTTGCCTTTTCTACTTTGTCCACTTAACCTCACAGATATTCTTTTTTGAGTAGCAACCCAACATATGTTTCTCTTTAAGCTAAAATAAAAGATGTGAAATGAAGAAAAGATGCAATTTTCCATTTTGGTTAGGCATAATTCTGTTGTCCATTTGGTACTTGATTTTCACTCATTTTCTTTCTCATGAACAAAAGGGTTGCCCATTCAACAATAACAAATAGAAATTACTTATGGTACATCTTCTCCCAAATGTCTTTCCTTGAGTCTTGACTTCCAAACCCATGTCTCCAAATCATAAGGTTTACAATTGAAAAATCTTATCACAAATCACAGAAGGTGAAACAATCAATTTGTTGCGATAGAAAACAAGTCCTGGCAATTACATACACGGTTCCAAATCCTGACCCGAATACCAACAGAAAATGATAACCCCAATATTGCATCCATCATATGCAATCACAACCGCTTACTGCATGCTGAAAAATGCTTCCCGACATGACCCAGATAAATGTCTGCTATAGAATATCTTAGTCTTCAGAGAGAGGTGGAGGTGTAGTGTACATTTTCATTCAAGCGGATGTTTAATTAGCAGGTTCTTCTCACAACCTTCAGTAACGTAATACTCATGACCTAGTAAATGCAGCCACTACAAAAGATGACACACTTCCAGAATAGAAAAACTTTCCCAGCCCCTTTCAGAACAAACAACCAGATTAAACTTACCATACCTTACCAGCCTGTCCAGGTCTCCGTTACATATGGATGTAAGAGAAAGAAATCCACAAGAATCTAAAAAGAATACATTAATATTGCCATGAACAAGATGTTGGTGTCTTCTTTATGACGTGATGGTTGAATGAAATGCAACTAGAAAATCTTTATGCCATGTAAGGCAACATGAATTCAAGTTGGGTGCCACTGTTAAAATACTAGATTACAAAAACCAGGGTTCAAAATATGGATGTAGTACTTTTTTTTCTTCAGGTTTCCCAATGGGTAACCTAAGCCCAAAGTAACTTAGGTTGCCCACTAGAACTTTAGACTGCCCAGTTACAACCTAAGTTGCAGCATAGGGACTGCTGACGTCACAGGGTCGCCGTCCGGCAGAACATTTGCAAAAAAAAACACAAGATATCCAATCTTCGCTGGCAAAAACAGGGTCGCTGTTCTGGAGGCCATCCGCATCCACATCTTCGCTGGGAAAACACATTTTTGTGCGAAACAATATATGGTTGCATGGCACAATCGTGCAACCAGGTATTGCCCACCCTGAAAATTAGTTCTCCTTTCCTAACCAGTCAATTCATTCTTTAATTTTCAAACTCACTTGGGTGCTAAACTTGGATTGTTGGAATAAAACAAAAGACATGTATTTTAAAGCAACTGTGTTCTGACAATATTAACTTGAACTTGCATTCAGGAACTTTATTTGTTATTGGTATGTAATTTTCTTGGACAAACTTCAAAAAAATTTTATATGTATAACTTCACGACATATTATGGAAGACATACAGAGGCATATGTCCACATAAAGTGATAAACCTCCAAAGAAACAAAGGCTGTATGCTGCTAAGCAGTGCATGACTTGAGGTTGTCAACAGCCCTTGGTTTAACATTTCTTTGTCTCCAGTTAAAAGTGCAGCTACAAGAACAATTAGTTATAATTCTGGGCAATTTAACCCTCCCTTCTGCTAGATTTAAGTTTCTGAAAAATTTACATCTATTTTTCTTTGTTACACCTACACATCGTTATGAAGTGACTCATTTAAGTCAAATTAACCGAAACAAATTAACTCTTTTCTAAGTGGGATGAACTGTTATTTTAACATAATTCTACCTTACAGATGGTAGCTTAATAAGTTTAAAATAGTTGTTTGTAACAACAGAAGAAGAGTTCATCTGTTTGAAGACACTGTTTGTCAATGAACTAAACCGTCCTTTTCCAAACAACCGAACTGGCATGAAGAGCTTTGTTGGACAAAGGGTTGGCGGGCCCTCCTGTTTGGATACAAAATGGACATCAAAGAAAGATCCTACCCTGTGAGCCAGGTTGACTCATCTCTTCTTCAATCAATCAGACTTGATTTTGCTGAAAACCCGGAGAATCAATCATTACCGAGGCATGGAGACTGGAAGAGGGGGTAAATTAAATCAAGCCGACTGTGATGAACAGAAAACAAGACTTGGAATGATGATGTTAGAGGTTGTCAAGTGACCTTTCCCTAATAGGCGAATGCAGGGTTCAACGGTTGCCTTGTTTGCCTGACCCCCATTCTCCATAGGGAGGGGACAATGGCCAGCCAGCACCCGATCTCCATGCCTCACCCAAAACAATTCACTCCATGCTAATCCACGGGGAGAAAGAGCGCTTATCTAGTCGAAACTGGAGCTTCATTTGTTGGTGCAATTCCATAATATAAACTCTGATAAAACCAAACTGTACCTTCTTATGGAAAAAAAATATACATTAAAAACAAGTTGAAGCATACATGTAGTAGTGCTTCTCATGAACATGAAAAAGCCAAGTATGCAACTCTCATGAGTCATCATTGCCATCTTCTGAGGCAACTACACGAGTTGAGTTCTGTTCTGTTCTAAACAACAGCAGTTATCTCTCATGGTTTACTTCACTTTGCATTCAGAGCAGATGTAACTAGAACAACTGTCCATCAGAGTCATCAGTTTCCAATACTCTTCCAGATTTTTGTTCCAAGAGAGAAGCAATGGTTTGCAGACTTCACCTGGAAGTCTTCTACTCTGGAAAGGGAAAAAGCATTCTATACAATATAGGTAGAACATTAGCATCAGGTATTTCATTGGCAATCAGCAGTGCCCTCTTCTTCTGAAAGTCTGATACCAAATATTGGACATTTTCACGTTTTCCTGTCTAGCCTTTTCAGAGCATTGTCCTTATAGACCATTGAGGATTGCAGGGTTAGAGGGAGAGTAGAAGTGGACAAAGAAAAAAAGACAAACCCATGTAACGTTACATTTCATACACAGGAGAAAACAAAGCACAACAAAATGGAACAAGAAATTTATAGGGTATCAAACATTATCCATATGAAATTCACTGGAAAATAATTAGGGAAGAAACATGTTGGAACTCTCTTCTCTCCCAATACTAGTAATCCTTTCTACTCCAGTTCAAGGATTTTTCAGTCCACTTCTGGTACTTGTAACTTGGCATGTTTTGTTCCATTGTAACAGCATGGATGTTACAGTGCCTAATAAAGGACATAATCATATCTTTTCAAGTACCATATTGCCACCACACTATTCTGTGACCGAGTAAATGGGTGATAAAGCAAGTATAACCGCTGGTGCGAAGGGGGCTGAATTTGGGGTCAGGTTTAGTCCAGCCTTATAGAGACATTTGGCATCTGGGGGACAAAAGGGTGCGGCCCTGGCCATGACCTGGTCAACCCAAGGTTACCTCACTTCACAATCTTCCTAAACTTCATCCACAAAATCTGTTTTCCTGGCCAGGTTTAACACATGAACACGAGCATCCACTGCTTGTAAACTTGAAGTTGATGTACATTAGATGGGTTCTGCCTTTTCTATTTAATAGTCTACCATTGCACCTCAGTTCGAAGAAACCACTGTGAGAAAGCCGGCGGCTGTCCAGAAACGGTCAAGTTACTCCATAAAACCCGGTATTACCGTAGTACATGACATTGTAAATGTTCAGAGCTCCCAAACTAGAAACAGCATGTGTGAGTGTGTCTGTGTGTGTACGGTGTGTGTGTGTGTGTGGTTTACTCCAGGAGTTTGAAGTTTTAATGGATTCTTTTTTTATTAGAGCTCGTGTGTGTGTAAAGGTTGGCTCCAGAAATGCCCAGTGCCATTGTTCCAAGGGCACACAATGAGATAGGGTTAGCGGCCTGGGAAAAATAAGCACCCCAGCTGCTGACCACCCTCAATAGCTGACCATGACAGATGAAAAGAAGTGGCCACGGACAAAGGGCTGACCGGGGCAAAAAGGAAACCCCTCGGTCATGGTGAAAATCCACGGCCTTTCACATGGATACGAGGACTGGAAAGGCGGACAAAACAGTCGCCTTAGAGCAGGACAAGGTCTCTAAAAAACTGAAAATTGCCCGTCGGTCCCACTGGCTGGCACCCGATCATTTTGGCGTGAACTCGTGAATGTTTACGTGTGAGAAACGCGCTTTGGGGGACATAAAAACAAACCTGAAAAAGTTTATCATCGAGAACAAAAACGTACGAAGTTCTGTTGCACGGAGTTATAGCTTGATTTGGGGAAAAGGGTGTAATCTACACTGTAAAAACACACAGAAGATCGCGGCTCTGTAACCGACATCACACCAGTCGGTCCGGCGGGAAGCCATCGCCATAATCCCGCCCAGGTTGCATAATGTTTACCGAACAAACTCTACAACAACCAGGGTTTTCCTTCTAGAAAAACGTGATACAAATTACGTAGGAAACCCCATTCTTCTGAACACATTCCCAAACCACATATTAGTTTATAAGGTCAGAAAAACCCATCACGACTCTGATGTTCAAACTGAGAGGATTCCCCAGTGCAGTTCCCAATAAACAACGGCCCGCCATTCACACATACACGCCACACACAATCACCTGTTAAAAATTTGCATTTCGCAACCTGCGTGCATTTTTACACAAACTTTAATCAACCACCGAGCCAGCAACAACAACTTTTAACCCGAGCCGGGCGGCGATCGTGAAGCCTGCGGCCGGCACAGTTCAACCGAGGCGGGCGGCCCGGGAGAGGGGAAAAGCAGCGCTGTTGTCGTTGCCGGGCTTTTGAACTGAACTAGTCCTCCTATCCAGGACGGTGGCCGGGGCCGGGAAAAACCACGTTGTACCACGCGGTAACGTGCCCTACTTCCCCACATACACGATAAATCTGCCTACAGGACGGGGACTTACTTGATGAGGCGGGTGAGGCACCGGCAGCGGTTGTCACGGCCAGCGGGCTGGCCTGACCGAGGAGAAGGGAGCCGGGGAAGGCCGGGGACGATGCCGCGGAGCCTCCTCCCGGCACGCCCCCAGCGCCAAGGCCGGGACTTCTGTCCATGTCCATCGGTGACTATTGTCTTGAGGTAGTTGAGGTCACAGGTGGAGGTTTTGGTCGTCCTTCCTAGGATCGCATGGCCCGGCGGACAGTCGGGTTCAAGCAGTATCTTCCGTCCAGCTAAATGTATGGCGTGCAAGATTCAAACCCGCACCGCGCACTTGACCTAGATTTTCCTTTGTAGCAATATATCCCTCCGCGGAACAACATTGGAAGTCATCGCTACCAGGCCGTCCAGTTCTTTCCTATTTCAGTCTAAATTCTCAAAACTAAGTCATGAGATTTTTTAGCAGAAGCTGATATATCAGCACTACACTTGACGTCTTTTTTATCGTTTGAGAAGTCAACAACGTGGACCTATTTTCTGTCCGCAGACAAGGGATCGCGCAGGCAGTGGCTGCGTGCAGCGGTGGGTCAAGCCTCATGACCTTTGGACATTTACATACACCCACAATCCTCCAACTTGCGATTTGCATTTGGATGAGGGGCTGACCTAGTTTCTAAGGACATGCGCATACACCTGCTGGGACCTGCCCCGCCCATCATCACCAGGACGGGTCAGTTTACAACCGCGTGGCATGGAGGGACAGTCCCCTAATCAGTGGCACGACTTCCATACTGGGACAGCAACACGGACTGGTCACCGTGCATGGCCGCCCTTCTAATGAAGTTCTATTAATTCTCCCTGTTCAGCTGATACTATTCGCGTCCTTCAAATTAGCTTTTCCACGAAATATCGTCCCCTCTGGCAAAATAAAAGGATCAAAACAACCTTAAAAGAATGACTAAAATTACTGCTGCTAGCTAGTATGTGACTCGGTGTTACAAAATCCGATGTAGTTAATGCTTGATATTGTCAAGGACGTTCTATCGAAGCTTGATATTATGAAGAGCTGATAGTGAAAATTCGAAGCATCCAAACACTAAATGTAAAGTCTGCTACAGTACATGCCAATATCTTCATAAATGTCCGAAAATTTGATACTGCGAATTACAAACTTTATTCGCATTGTAAGGCCGCAGTAGTCCATACAACGTATATATATTGTTATATACTAGTATTGTAAATTGGGTGTTACGCGTACGTGGGTTAGGTGGCGACGCAGTTTCATGATATTCCTATATCGTAGATTAAATCTTTGATCCATCATAATTGCAATCATAATTGCGAGTTGTTGTTTTTTTCTTATTTTTCGGAATCCTCTGATAGCTATTTTTGTTTTGCTTCGAATCATGTATCTATTCATTACATATGCCTGTCTTATTTTTGATATTCAATTACAGTATAGACTCGTTGCGTATTGTTTTACGTATACTATTACATGGTCTACATTGGTCTGTTTGTTTGTTTGTTTGCTTGCTTGGATTCATAGCTTGCAGTACGTAGGTATTGTTTTTGAGTGTGCTTGTGCGTGTGTGTGTGTATGCTCATGTGCTCGTAGGTTTTGCCGTTGCCCTTGTTCTAATGTTAAATGTTAAAAGTTAAAAGTAAGTCAGACCATCTCTTTGGCTGTGCCAATAACTTTACAAAAACTCAAAAAAGATGTGTGTTTGTCTTTTTGTTTGCTTGTGTGTCCATAGTTTGTGTCTGAGCAAAGTAGAGCCACAGAAAGTGAGGGGGTGACCGAAGACTGTCAGGAAGCTCGAATTGGAAACTGGTCCTTCCGCAGGCTGGAAGTGACGGCGGACTATCAAAAATACGCAGAATGGACGAGAAATTCACCAAAAATGAATAAAAGAAGAAAATCACATCAACTTTGAATATGTCTACTTATATTCTTTCTTTGTTGTTGTTTGTGTTGTTGTTGTTTAGCAACACTGACGTCACCGGATTTATCCCAGACATGTACCTGCACAAAACGATGATTACTATTGCGTGTTACGATTGCAAGCGGCGGGCTTGGCGGGATAGAAGCAAGCGAGTTGAAATCTCCTAAGGCAGGAGAGAATGGGCGTTGTTCTAGTCTCCACCAACCTCCTTCGCAGGCTGAGAAATCTTGGGGATTTATTTGGCCAGAGGAGTTGGCCGGCCAGAGAGGGTCATCTGTCTGCAAAGGAGTCTGGTGGAGACTAGCATTGTTCCCTCGCCTCTTGGATTTGTTGGAGGAGGAAATCCTAGCCCCAATCCAGATGCATAAATGGTTGGTCCCTCCAGTCCCCAGTGACAGTGGGGTGGGGAGTATATTCAATAAGCTAAGCCAATAGCGAGTCTCCTCAGCCCAACTCGGCCCATCTCTATCGATCGCGTGAATGTAAAACCATGTACCGTACGATGGGTACAACTGCTGCTGCAATCAGCGCGCTCCAAACGACCTTAGCTGGGCTAGAACCTTATCGGGTCACGGGAAGTAAATATGGAGGGTTTCAAATGATCCTACACGGAAAATTCGTTGTTGGATGAGAACAAAGTATCATTTGTACAATATTACTATAAAAAGGATGGCAACACATGTGAAAAAGTCGACGATCATTTAATCATTTTACACTTTTTTTCAACTTTTTGGTCTGGCCATCTGATAGTGAAATATGACTATCTCGGAATTATCTGATAATCATAGAATGAAGAGAAAAAATACAGATGCTTGCGTTTTCTGCGTGTTTTGTCATTTTGGCAGGGCGCTATATAAAGTAATCATACAATCAATGGACGACGCAATTTCTGCACTCTTTGCACGATTTGTGCTTATATAATGAAAACCGCATTAAAAATACCAAGGGGCCAATTGGTCATAGGGACTTAAAATCGATGTCATGATACAGTCCCTCGAATGGATTGTAATTTGTTCTAGACTCCATTCTATACTACATAAAGGAAAACCTTCTCCCTGGTAACCTCCTTGTGGGAATCGAATTCTGGAAAATCAACAATACCAGCCTGGAGTCCAGTCCGGTCTTGGTATCTTTAGTTCGCTTTTTTCCTTTTCTTTTCTTTTTTTGTTGGCGAGGTATCGACCGTTGTAAATGGACTGAAGCTAGACTGAATTCCAGGCTAGGCTATCGCAATACCGTTTCAATGGTAGAGGAGCATGTCAACCACAACTTTGGACTATGAAAAAATTGCGTTTTGGGTGGGAAAATGAACTACATGTACTATCTGACACATGACGTAAGTTGCCTGATTGATCTCGTCATCCAAACAAAAGGCTTCAATCTGGTCGGAGATATTACATTCGTAAATCTATAACCTTCAATTTTCTTCATTTTCTCATGTGGTGATGTCATTACATACTGTAACAGCATCCACAAATGTGTACATATAACGCTGATGATATACTAAAGTGTTTCGATTTCTGGTCCGTACATTGTAGTACATAGTAGATGCAAAATGCCTAAGTAAAAGATTTTTTCAAGTCGTCCCATTTTGTAAACAGTACAGGGCGTGTTCGGTGTATTGAATATTAAAGGAAGGCGCCCAGTCCAATGTATACAAGAGTTCGAAGATCTCATATCTCCGTGACATATTTAGAGTTCCTCGTAAGTCATGTAAATCATTAATTATGTAAATGATGTCTTGGCTAACATTACGCCATACATACCTGAATACTGCTTATTCCCTCTTCACAGTACTGACCACGATTTGAAGACCCTTATATCCACAAAAGGCATGCAGTACCTGCAAGCAAACGCTCCAACATTGCCCACCAATGAATGGTCGGGGCATTGGATAATTCCACTTTTTCGCCGTGTGGGTGGGTGAAAGTTATTGTTTTGACCTTACAAGGTTACATATTTTACCAATTAATTGCAAAACATGGTCTTGCGAGCAATGCTGTTTGACATTAAATGTGCACACCATTCATTAGGTCATAGATTATGTTAAGAAATGCTGAGCTAAAGTCGTTAGATTTTGCATTGAAGAAACCTGGATGTCGGGAAGAGATAGAAAAGTACTTCACGATACAGCAATGATTGATATATCACATGTGACAAGCAGGCAAAGCCGTCACTGTCACTGGAACTCTGATGGTTCCACAGCTGCCGGGCAGATTCTGCGGTATCAAACATCACAGTCCTTATAACAGTCTCCATCAAACATCACAAACACCACATCAAAGCAGCTGCGTGCTTTGCATTAATTTCAAGCGCTGTTCTTCTTGTAACTGAAAGACAAACCACCCACATGACGTAATTAGTAAAGACATACAGGACTGAACGAGAGCAACACATGCATCAGCACATCTAGATTGCGTGCGCGAAATGATCACACGTGCAAGCAAAGTTCATGATCAACGCACGTTCTTACATGCACACACGTTTTTACATGAATATAGAATCAACATACGGTTGAGGCAGTTATGGCAAAAACTTCGAAATTTTTAAGCTCCCTGGTTATTTCAAGTATTTCATACATCACACACTCACTGGCATTTATGAGTCTTCATGATTTATGTATAATTTATTTATTTATTTATTTATTCATACATTCACACGTGGCATTTTGCCTGTTTTCTTGGAACCCGCTACTGAAAAAAAGACCTGAGAATGTTGACTACGCTTTCATTGTTGACTTGAACAGGATGCCTTGATCCAAACTTGTGCTAAATTTAGCGGGAGGACGGCCAATGGCGTCATGAGGTATTTTAAACCGTTCCGCATCTTCCATAGAAAATGTTGACTCCTCCCCCTCCACGGCACATGAGCGCGAACCATGCGTCGGTTTAACTGTTTGATGGATGAATGGACCATGTGCGGGGCGGGGCAGCCGGTCTAATTTTATGTTGTCCCACCAAAGCAGGGGTCAAGTTTCCATCTTCTCTTGCGGGGATAATATAAACACGGTAAGACCAACTGGCCAACAGCTGCGCCCCCTAGTGGCAGCGCTGGTTTGATGTCGTGAGCAGTCTCAGTGTTAGTATCCACCATATCCATCATTTTGCCACAGGTCTCAGCCTAAATCAGCTCCGTTGGTGGGCTAGCTCCTGTGGCAAATCATTTACCATATTTAGCAATGCTGAACTAATGTTTCTTTTGAAAACGTTTAGCGCCGTGAAGTATTTTATTACAGGTAGGCGCGGTATACCTGTGCTGGCATGATGTGTGCTGAGGGACTGGCCCGCAACACTGGCGCTTTATCATTTATTAAAGCTCCGATTTCCGATTTAAAGGCCAATCAAATTCCCTTAACCCGACAATCAATAAGAAATCTTTGGTCCCGATGCTCGTCTATTTGTCCTGATTGACAAGAAATTTGTAACTCCATAAAACAGGCACTACTATGCGATCTCCAAGCAGATTCGGTGGGGCACTACAATACAGATAGGCTATAAGAAAAGGCCACTCTGAGAAAA